AAAAAAACGAAGAAAAAAAACAATGTTTACAGATAAATATAAATGTCATATTTATTTTAAATCAATGAGAAATATTTCATATAGTTTTTATTTATTTCAATAAACAAATATACAATGTTTTTAGGTTTTTTTATTTTTCTTAATTATTCCATAAGATCTTCATTGTCATTTAAGAGAGGATCCGACAGAATACCAGACATCATGGCCGGGGAAAAAATTTTGATTTTGGATTTGATATTCTGAAACGAAAGACCTTAACGAGTTATTATTAAATTCAAAATATTAGCTTTTTTTAACAATTCGTTGCTGAGTTCTGAAGTACACTTGGGTAAAGGGGGTCAATTGACCTAGGCAAAAATATGGTCATTTTTCATACTTTTAATGTGGTACAAAGCGTTTCACTATTTGAAGCATTAATATAGTAATGACTCATATAAAAAGAAAGAGCCTTGCGTTATTTCTATTAGCCCATGCCCTTTTGGACACTTCATGAACATAATTTTGTGGACGAACAAAGATTAACAATGTATTTTATGATAAAAAAATCCCTTCGATTTTTCGCTTTTTTTGCAAAATATCTCAACCCTTTGTATTAAAAAATGGAGGTTCCCCATGTTTTTTATGACATCAGAAGATAGTCCGTGAAAAACTGCGTCTGCTGATGTAAAAATATCTGAGAAAAACGGTACTTGGCTGATTCATTTTTTTTCAAAGAAAAACCGCAGTTATACACTTTTTTATGCTCATGGTGGAGTATCTTACACTATTCTGTGCCTTCGTTCTACCTTATTTGACTTAGAACTGATGCCATTTTTTGAACATCAATGGCTATCACATAGACCTGGAAAATTGTCCAGATCAGAGCCTTTGAAAAGACTGTCATCTATATGTTGTCTAGTGCACACCATTCACGTTATAGGAAAAGGTACCTTATAGTAAACCATGGACACCTTCGTTCTCCCCTATTTGATTCACAAATATAGTCATATTTTCAGCATCGATATCAATCACTTAGACCTGCAAAATTATCAAGACAAGAGTCTTAAAAGAGGTTGTGTTTTATATGTTGTCTAGTGCATATCATCCCCATTATAGGGAAAGGCACCTTATAGTAAACCATGGGTGTCCTCATTCTTCGCTATTTGATTTAAAAGCGTAGCAATTTTTTTAGTATCAGTATCAATCAATAAGACCTAGAAAATAGTCAAGACCAGAGCCTTCGAAGAGGCTGTCTTCTATATGTTGCCGATTACATATCTCTCAGAATGTAGGGAAAGGTACCTTGTAGTGAACCATGATTATCCTCGTTCTCCATTATTTGATTTAGAATTGAAGCTATCTTTTCAACATCAGTACGAATCACTAAGACTTGGAAAATGATCAAGACCAAAGCCTTCATAGAGACTGTCTTCTGTATGTTGTCAAGTACATAAAATCTCCGTTATAGGTAAGGGTACCTTATAGTGAAGTATTTGTACCTTCGTTCTTCGCTATTCGGTTAGAATCGAAGCAATTTTTTCAACATCAATAACAAGTGCTAAGATCTGCAAAAGGCTGTCTTCTAGATGCTCTCTGCTATACCCTCACCCTTATTCTAGTTATATTTTTTGTTCGAAGCGCTGTGTTACAGACGTTATAGTCATGCTCTGAAATACTCTGCATGAATATAGTACTTGTTGATTCTAAATACCGGAAAAAAGTGAGGAGCCTTGTTTCGTATGCTGTTTTCTTCTACATAACCGGTTTGTCACTAAGCTTGGACACAGCGAATTGTTCAAATATAAAGCATCTAAATGGTATGAAATACAAAAAAGCAGGAAACAAATAGAAATCATGAGAAAACAAAGAAATGAAAAACATAATGAGGAATAGTTGAAGTAGAATAGAAAATTGGACCTAGATGAGCGATCATAGTTTGAAGAAAAATTTGTTCAAAAACGTACATATGATCGTTTGGGTTTTTGAAAATAA